ACATCTGCTCTGACATTAATGCCAGCTTTCGTTCCTGACACTCAGTCCTCTGAGAGCAGAGAGTGGGAGGGCCATACAAATGAATCAAAGTCAGCTAGTGAGAAATAAATGCATCCAATCTGATATACCATCCTTTGATTAGAAAATTTAAAATTAAATTAGCAGAAGTAATCTGTTCTATAAAATATTGCATTCACTCTTACGAACCCCTAATGTCTTTAATGTTTTATCAGGTAAAATTCAAGTTTTAAGCTTATTTTAAAAATATAGTTTTCTGCATTTATTAGATTAGGTAAATCTGCTAGATGAATAAACTAAAATAGAAAAAAATTGTAAAGTCTTCTTCTATGAAAGAATGATCTGAAGAGGAGTCCCTTATTTTGAAATCCCCTTGCTGTGTAATCATTGATGAATCAGTTATCTCTGCAGGTTTCAGATCCTTTATTGTCAAAGCTTGTCCTAGATCATTCTTATGGACCCTCCCAGTGCTAACTTTCTATGATTATTCAATGATTGCAGATATTCTATATTAACATCAGCTTTCAAGTTATTTCAAAGCCAACATTTTCTTCATAAAACTGAGGACAAGTAAATGTTCACCTCAGTATTCTGCCTTGACTTTGATACAGAAAAGCTAATGGGATTTCCTAGTTAAAGTTATTACTGAGTCATAACTCACAGCTATAATTTTGCTACCGTATAACAGTGATGTGTTTTACACCTAGGGGCCCATTTTATCTGCATAATTACTCTGTAAGAAAATCAACCTCAAAAAAAAAAATACCTCACCCATGACACTGGTTTTGGAGTGGCTGATGAGAAATGGCTGCCTCCAAAATTCACACTCTTTTGCACTACATTATGATGACACAATTGAGGGAAAAACCTTCTTACACTGGGCACAACTGTTTAGCAAGAGAATCCAGAAGTTGACAAATTATGAATTGGCATTTTCTGAACTGCCAAAAAGTACTAAAGATCATCATTGCCCTAATGTCTTCCAAATGAACTATGTAGTGTTCTCTCAGGGTACAAAGAGTAAGACTTATAACAGATTCTAAACAATAGCATTCAAAATAATCTGTATGTTTAATGTTTAATTGTCATATATTTATACACATTTTAAGGGTTGAGTATAATGTGATTATGTAAAGAAGTATAATAAGCAAATCAGGTTAATGAGTATTTTGATCTTCTTAAACTTTTTAACATTTCTCTGAATTGGGAAACTTCAAATACTTGTAGGTACTTGAAAGGTATAATTTGGTGAAGGCTATGGGTAGTCTACTATGTTACAGAACATTAGAACTAATCCTCCTAATTAAAAAAAAGAACAAGCAATTCTGCATAATGCATTAAGATTGATCTGGATTTGGTAATAACTTTAGGAATATACATCCATATTTGATAATTTTTTATTTCCTTTGAATGGTAAAGCCATAAATCGAATTTAAAAGATTAGACACATACAACAAAAAACATATTTCTTATAAAACCTGTCACAAGGGGTAAGGATTTCTACTATCATTACAAGATTCATTTATTCCGGTAGGTACAATTTATTTTGAGAATCAGAGTAACATTAATTTCCTTTACAATTGTATTAGGCTAGCATTCATATATTTTTTCCTTTGTGAAGAAATTTAAATGTCAACTTGTTTTAAGTTCATTTCTTCAATTTTAAAAAGTCCATATATGCATTTGGCATTTCTTGATTGTTATAATGATGTCCTCACATTAGAATATTTCAATGCACTAATTCTCTATCAACTTTTTAGGACTGTCACATTTTCTTTATTTTTTGTATCTCATATACTAAGTATAAATTCATTAAATGATTTAAGGAGCATATTTTATCTAAGAAGTAAAACTAAGTATTTTCCCTAATATGCAAACCAATTTCTACTGTCAGTTAAACCTCCCATCTCAGATACACAGTGATAAGGAAAAGATGACTAATTGTCATATAATATGATGATAAACAGGAAGTCACAAGATTTTATATCCTTTGGTCTTGATCCACAAATCTAAATTAAAAAGTCAAACTTGGGGCTGGGGATTTAGCTCAGCTGCATAAGAGCCTTCCTTGCAAGCAGGCGGTCATGGGTTCGATCCCTGGTACCGATAAAAAAAAAAAGTCAAACTCAGGTAGAAATAATGACTTTACTGGTAGATGTAAAGTTCATATATATGGAGTAATACAGCAGAGGAATAAAGAAGACAGCTGGAAATATATGTGTTGAGTTCAGAAGAGAAAGTACCACAGTCAAAATATATTATTCAACCACAATAAATAAGGTACTCGGCTACTTAAAACCACATATAACACACATTCATAATGAGGCTGAAATTTACACTTTAGGTCATATATACACAATAGCCAGCTCTAGATATTGTCTGAATATAACTTTACCTTCAAACCTATTTCAACCAAAACATAAAACTTACCTTAAAGATAACTTAATGTCTCACATCTGAAGCAATTTCTTCTTGGATAAATATCTTTTAATATAAAGCTGCAATTCTGGGCCAGGGATATAGCTCACAGGCACCATGCCTACCTGGCAGGACTGAGATCCAGAGTTTGATTTCAGTACCAAAAAAAAAAACAAAAAAGCTGCAAGCCCTTGTCAGGACTGCTTTTCCCCTCCACTGACTCTCCCAGGATAAAGACAAGCATCTGAACATCACCATGACAACAATACGGAAGAGAAAAGAGGATGTGTGTGGGGTCCACAAACTGCCCCTTACATTCTTGCTGACCTTCGCAGAGAGATCCTCCCCCCGCCTGCTGCCTGGATGCCTTATGCTCTGTAAGTGAGCTCATGTAAGTGAGCCATATCTACCTAGAATAAATTTGCTGCTAGATACATCTAGAATGGAATACCAGGTAGCTTCAGGCCTTTGCACTGATCTTGCTTATTCCTCTGTAAATATAGAATTTTATTCCTATATTATAGTGTCAAAAGAAAGTAATGAGCCACTTAGCTCATAGAAGATCCCCCTTCAACTTCAGCCATCTTAGCTATAGCCTAGTCTGTGACAAATGCTCATGCACGGAACAGACAGTGGGGTCCTCTTCAGAGAACCACATGATAATGCAGAAGCATCAAAAGGTTGTTTCGTCTCAGCCAAGCGTCTGTGAAAAATACTGAGATTTAGGCACTGTAATATTTAAAATTGTATCAGTAGTGTGTATCGTTCCTTATGCAAAATGATGAACAGAAGAGAAAGCTATGAGAAAAATAAATCTCTTCATTCATAAACTTTTGTCCACAATCTCACAGGCCTAGGCCTGAAGAATGCACTTTTAGAAGACAAGTACTTTAAGGATGAGTAAAAACAGGAAGTAACCTAAAGATCCCAAAGTGCTTTGCCTCAACTGGCAAGTACTAAGCTCAATGTGCTCAATCTCTAAACACACAACATGAAGTCCAGCTGTTTACCAATAATATGCCCACTTTCTCCTTGCCTGACAAGCAAGCCAGTCATTTCCACACTAAATATAATCAGTAATCGGCAGTGCACAGACAGACTGTCATGCATGTGACATAAATAAGGGCCCAGTAACATCAGCAAGGCAATCCCCGGTGCTTCTCAGACTAAGAATGTGCGTAACTTTAAAACACACGAGACAGCCAGGAGATAGCACAAAACACACACAGGAGCTTTCTCAGGGCGCATGATTCCTGCATGTAAAACATAAAAACGTAGAATTTTAAAAACTAGCAAAATTATGCTAAGGTGGCCCGCAGTAGCTGCTGCGACCATTGCTGATTGGTTGGCTCGTGGTCTGCAGCAGCAGTGTGGCTGCCCAGGTATTTCTAAACGATCCAATGATCCTTTTTCAACACTAAGGAAACAAGCCGACTACGAGACACAGCTGTACGGTACAATTGTGCTGACACGAAGCTCTACGGTCACTGGTCACGGGCTTCACCCCGTTCCTATTACCTAAAGTTTCCCAAATGCAATTCAGGACCCCACAACCATGCTTGCTGAAAAGACCTCTTCCATCGTGGAGCCTCTTCCTAGGTCAGAGGACAGCTCTGGTTGCATTTTTAAAAATATAATTGACTTTTCTTCTCCCCTTATTCTCTTTATCTCACTGCACACTGTGAGCTCTCTTTCTGTCTCAAGCCATGTTTTCCCACTTTTCTCATGAGTGAGAAGCCCTGTACAGAGGCTGCAGCAAACAAGACCAAAACACGGGAGCCTGTGGTAGAGACAACTGCAGTTGGGACCTAATTAAATTCATCTGTGTGGTTGTGCATGACACCAACAAGAAAAATCCAATGCTGAAATGAAAAAGACATGGGCAAAATTTTTAAATAATGTGTTCACTAAACTGGCAAATTCATTCCCTCACAGTTAAGCATACAGTGATAATTTCACTTATCAAACTGGCAAAGGGAAAAAAAGAATACACTGAAATATGCACACTCAGTCTTGGAAGTAAAAATTTCTAAAACATATCTGGAAGTCAATTTAGTATCATTATCAGTATTAATTAATATCAGTAAAGACCTTAATTTTTTATTGTATTTTTAATGTATTTTTTCCATTTGTCTCAGTAATTCTATCTCCATGGATTTATCCTAATACTCAACTACACAAGAAAACTTTTATTTGTAATAAAAAATGTTCAAAACTAAGAGATTATGAAGCAAATTATGACGCAGGATGGTCATTCATAAAAATCAACTTTGAAAGAATAATTTAGAAAATGATTATAATAACGGCGAAAACTATAGGTCATAAAAATTTAAAAGAACATGCCTCTTTAGGAAGTAAATTGTTTCATTGGTGATAACTCTTAAAAAGTTACATATATATGCACATATAAAACAATATGAAGAATATATTTTTTTAATTCAATAATCAGTTTTTTATTTGAAGAATATAACAAATACAAAAATAATTATCAAATAATTATTAATTTAGAACTAAAATACTGAAAAAGAAATGAATATTTCAGCAAACCATAGTAGGAAACAGCTAACAATGAAGATAACGCAATAATATAGCTTAAATAAAAGTAGGCTAAAAGGATTCTTACCCAATATATCTGCAGCTAGAGAAAAAATATATATGCCAAATAAACACGATAAGACATAACTAAAAACAAAAGTGTTAATATTGGGGTGAAAGGACATTTGTACTTTTACTTTTTTCTTTAGTTTTTTGAAATTTTCCAAAAATTTGAAAATACCTAGACAGGGAAGTGACAGATTAATGGAAACACAAAGGCTCAGCTCAGGACAATGAGAACTATGACGAAATCCAGGAGCAAAAGCCAAGCACAGGGTTTCTCTGCTTACATGGAGCACAGCTAGACTGAGGCTTGGTGAGGCACACTGCGACACCCAGAGGACTCCAGCACCTCATCATCAGCTGGGAGTTCTGAACGTGTATAAAGTTTGACCTTGGGAGGTGCTGGTTTATCAGGGGACTGCACTGAGGGCCGGCCGGCCGGGAGGAGGACAAGGATGGCAATGTGTTTAATGTCTTTCTGTCAGAGTGACCATGATTTTAACATTCACCCAACACTGACTGGAGGCGCCCCCAGTTTCCACTCATTGTAGGAGAACTGCTATTCCCTGGGGAATGCATAAAGTAGGTTAGGAAGAAGTCTCCAGAGATATCTGGGAATGAGAGGGGCGAGGAGTGATGAGGAGCAACAGGGAAAGGAAAGGGGCAGGGGCAGGACAAGAGAGGGAAGGACAGGGCAGTGGAGGGGAGCGGTGAGAATTTAAAAACGGAAATTTTTATAGGAAAAAATGCTAACATTGTACCATGAAATGCACATTCCCAGGGAATCCTTGGAGCTCCTGTTATCATGCTTAGAAGCAACAAAAAGATAAAAACTAAAAATCATTCTTTGGTAGTATAGACTAGTAACTCAGTTCCACTCAAAAGTGAAAATCTGCAATAAAATAGAGCAGGAAGTCATGACGAGGACTCACAATAAGAACCCATCACCACAGTCAGAAATTTTAGCTCTATGTTAATTGACTTTCTCAGGTAGCAGACACCTGCCGTTGGTGGTAGGTATGGTCCCATCATAATAAAACAACATTAAATGTAAAGTTTTCACATCACAAAACAAAGCTAAGCAAATTGCAGAGCATTCAGGAGTTAGCACTGCCCTGGGGAGCACTTTCTGGCTTCCCTGCCTTGCCATAAAACACTGAACATGAATCAGTAACTTGAGGATTTTCCAGAGAGAACCTGGTTGATACCAGCCAAGATGACAATGAAGGCAACCAGAAGGCCTCCAGTTGCAACACCGAAGCTCTCCTTGTGTGTAGGCACAGACACTCACACAATGGCACCTTAACATTAGGGGCTTACAGGACAGAGGAACATACTGAGTTAGACCCATAAATGCATAAGGTAGAGAAAGAAGAGAGATGTGGCCACGGAGATGTGAAGCTGTTAGCAGATCCCTTCTGGTCTCTGTGAAGCACAGAATATTCTTGATTTCCATACCAGCTCTCCCCAACACCAACCTCAGAGGCTATGAGAAATGTTTAGGGTTGTCCAATCAGAGACCAGTGATGACAGCTACCATGCTGCTGGGATCAGGTGTTGCTGGCCTGGTTGAGTCCAGCAGACCTTTGCAGAAGTCAAGAATATTATAGAGGTCTCAGGCATTGGGGAATGGCCTGGTCATCCTGGGCCTCATCAACCTCTTGGACACAAAGGACTGGCAGAGAATGTACTGGTTCCCTCTCATCTCATTTCAGGGAAGTGATGGCTGCCAAGGCCCTGCGGTCCTCTCTCCTTAGGTGATGTGTCCACCACAATCCTAGGTATAATAAGAATTTCTCACTGGAGGTGAGCTGCTGGAGGACTGGAAGATGCTCACAGAAGGCCCTGGGGTCAGCGAACAGGTAAGATGTCAAAGCTGACTGAGTCTGGGAGCCATGAAGGATCTTCTCTAGCAGTGACACTTCATGTTGAAGCCAGAGCTGGATGACATCTTTGGAAAGCCAGATCCTTGAAGTTCTCTCTAGAAGCTGCCACAATGGGACTTCTAGTCTTTCAACAATACTGTTCACAAAGACACCCACATTAGAGTAGAACCTCAGGAACTGTCCAGGGAGTCTAGCAGCCAAGTGGCCAAAGCTGTGGAGGAAACAGATGCGCACAGCAGCCTCATCTTGGATGCTGAGTGCAGGTGGACCTGCTGCGAGCCCACCCTGACCCAGGAAGCCCAAGATGGAGAACACTGGAACAGGGCAATGATCTCAGGCAGCTATGGGAATGTGGGGCTCTGTGGGCCTCAACAACTCAGCAGCAGGTGATGGATATGGGGGGACAGGCCCAGGTCCAGCTGCTGGAGCCCTCCCACCAAGGGCAGCAGGTTCAGCAGTGCACACAGGTGGTCCAGACTCAGTGGACTCTGCTACCATGAGGTGAGGAGGCAGTGGTTGGTGTGGAGCCAGCCTGGAATGACCTTGAGGACGGGCAGCAGCCCCTCTGTGGACAGGACCTTCAGCTTCTCCTGAATGATCTGGGGATGGTTGGGTAACTGGCTGATGGAGGTGCCCTGCCTCATACAGGAACTGGTGTGGAACTTGATGTCTAGAAAGCTGCTCATGTCATCCTCAGTGCTGGGGAGGGACCATTGGAGTCAGTTCAGAAGGACGAAGCGACTGAAGACAGGAGCCAAATGCGAGCCCTGTGTCCCTTGACACTTTTATTTCACTGGCATAGACAGGCTGGCAGAAAGAGCTGTTCTTAAGAGATCCTGCAAGCTGTTGGAAGGTTTGTGTGCCTTCGTTTTCTCCTCGGCACGGTCAGCTTCATACTTGGGTGTGGCTCCCCTCTCTGGGATTGTGTCTGGATTCAGGAAGCCACCTTCTCCTTTATCACTTACATCTGAACAGGAAGTGGCCCTATTCACTTCTGAGCAGATCTGGGACTTTAAGGATTTGTCTTCCTCCTCCTCCTCCATCTCATGGGAGTCACAGCAGAAGTGGAAAGTGGCCCCAAGGAGGGTAGCCCTCACTTGAAACACAGGCCACCTGTGCCAGGCACTGAGGGCTGGAAAGTCTGGGTGCCTCTCTTCAGTTGCTTTCTGCTGGCCTCCTATCATTGCAGACAGCCATTTCCGGACTTGATTTCCCTCACTGGAGCTCGCCCTGGATCCTCGTATTCACAGGCTGAATTAGGTGAGAGAAAAGGGTCAAGGTAAAGAAGCCCACTGGTTTGTGCTGCTTTGAGCCTGTTTTCCACAGGTGGTGCACATGCCCCAGGCAGAGGTCCACCACGTGGAGGATGAGGAGCCTCGAGGACTTTCCCTCTGTGAAAGCCTGGCACGGATCACGTGGACACAGCCCATGGGAAAGACAGAGGCAAAAGTCTTCCAAAACCAACTGGCACAGGCTACCAGCTGGGCCGCCCTGAATCTCCTCTGAGGCTGCAGGAGACTCTGAAGGTAGAGAGCACTAACCAGAAGTCGTTGGCCGTCCTAAGGGTGCCTCTGGATGCCAGACAGTTTCTTTCCCTGGTACCTTTTTGGATAGCAGTAAGGCTTCCCCACAGGATCATAGGCCAGTTTGAGGTTCCAAGCTGCCTCCCAAAAAAGCACTTTCCAGTAGAGGCAACATAGTACTTACCAGCGCCCCCAGCTGGCTGAAGGGCACCCCCATGTTTTGGGCCACAGCATCTCTCAGCCAAGTCCATGGTGGCCAGGTCTAGGAAGTCACTCTGACAGTGAGACAAGTCCCCCAGGTAGAGCAGGCAGCGATGGCCTGGCAGCCTCTTGCTCTGATGTGGGTCCCCTTTTTCACAGCTAATCAGGTGAATCTCTCCACGTGGCCAGTCTGCATAGCTCTGTAACCCCAGCTCATAGTGCCCCCAAAGGAACAGAAAGAGATACTCATAGAACCTGAGGCTGCCCTTCAGATGCACCCACAAGGTGCCTTCCCAGAGAATGACAGTGTCCTTGTGTCTTCTGTTCGTCTTCATCAGCAACACGACAACGTCAGAGTACAAATCTTCTGCCTTTCTCCCATAAGACACTGGGTACGGGAACCTGACTCTAACACAGACTTGTGGAACCACATCCCTGAGGGCCAGGACATGTGGCTCGAACACCTCCTTACGAGCATTTCCTGTATGCAGAAATGGATCAAGACGTTGAGCTGCCAAGCAGACTTCCGCACAGAGGAGTTCGGCCTTCTGGAATTCTGCTGGGCTTCTTTTCATGGGGCTGCACTCTTGTCCAGTGCCGCCTACGTGTGCCTACACAGAAAAGACAAAACCGGTTAGGATTCACTCTCAAAAACTAAAAACTAATAGTGACAAAGTTCAGATGAGTTAGCTCTGTGGGATAAAGAGGTAAATCCTGCTGGTCCTTCCAATCTCAGTGTAAACATAACTTCTTCTAGGAGACCAATTCTAACTCCTAAATTAGATTAAACGAACCCTGCATTAGCATCCTTTGGGACTCAGGAACTCAGTCAGATGTGAACTGTTCTTGATCCTGTTTCTTTTGCCATGGGACATTCATTATAATGAACTATGCTTTTTCCTACCTAACTAGGCCATAAAGTCCTGAAGGAAATGACCAGAGCCAATTCTCTCCCATATCCCCAATACTGAACAATGTGTGCTTCAAGTGGATGCCCCGTATATAATAGGAAACAGATGAAGTTTACTCTGCATATCAATTTCTTGGGGATAGCTTTTTAATTCCATGCTTACAATGCATATATGCAGCCTATTTTGCTATTTAAAATGAATTATAAAAGTGAAATGAAATTTTATGCAATTTCCACTAATTGCAATACAAAAACAAATCTCCCATACCAAGATTTAAATTTAATCAGGAGTATGTGGATTCTTTAGAGAATTCAATCTGGAATAATGCAAATATATTAAAACTGAACTTTAACATAAAAATAAGATTCCTTACTCTGATTAGAATTTGCTTTATAAACTTTCAGGATAGAGGGAAAAGAGAAATACACACTTTATTACACAAAACATACAAAGAAGAAACACCAAATAGAAAGTATCCTATTTTTCTTCATCTAAAAAAGTAAATCTAATTAGGTTGGGGATGCCAGTCCATGGTAGAGCACATAACATACTTAGTACACATGAAACCCTGGGTTCAGTCCCCAGCAAGGGGAAAGGACAGGAAGGGTAGGGAAGGGAGAAGAAGAAAATTAAAATAAACAAAGTAACACTTTATCATAACAAAATAGTAAAATATGGTATTGGGCATGGTGGCACATGTCTATAACCTCAGCACACAGGACACTGAGGCAAGAGGATCACCATGAGTTCAAGGCCAGCCCGAACTCATAGTGAGTTCATAGTGAGTCAGCCTGAACTACATAGCAAGACCCTGTTTCAAAAAGAAACAACAAAAAAATAGTAAAATATGTAATAATATCTCATACAAAAGACCCTGGTGAAACTTTTATAAATTTACACAGCTAGAAGTTTAAAATAACTTTTGTTTCATTTATAGACTCTGGGATCCTGCTGTTATGATCAATCATTCTAACGTGACTTCTTCGGTACTATAACTTACGAATCTGCATCTTTCAATGACAGGCACTAGACAGAAATAGTAATTATTAAGTACATATTATAAATTTTTGATTCAGTAAATAAAACATAAGCCAAAAAATAAATGCTAATATATGCAGAATCCATACAGTGTCAATAGAGAGACCCGCACAGAGTTACCTGTAGCCTATGACTGAGATGTGACTGGGAAGAAACAAGGGTGGAGGCAAAGAAAGATGAACGCATTTGGGCAGGAGACCAAGGGAAACAGAAGCTGAGCCGGCCCTGCAGAGCCTGCAGAACGGCCAAAGCAAGAAGAAGATCTCCATGGATCCATAAAGGAGCAGCTAACCAGGCCTTTCTCAGCGCTGGAAAAGCTGAGGGAGGGGTGGAAACTACCAAACACCTGGAGAAGACAGACTCAGGCGAGATTAAAAGCACGGAGCACACGCAGCACACATGCACACGCACACACGCGTGCAAGCTTTTCTAAAAGGAAATGAGTTTCTTCGTCAAGCCTTAAAGTCAGAAGCTAAAAACTAAAAGACAGAGAAAGGAAAAAGTTTTAAAATCCCAAACCTATCAGAATAAAACATGGATTTCACTTGAAAGTCAGAGAGGAAAAAGAACCGACATTGATACTAGCCTCTTTTCCTTTCCCCTGTCCTTTAATGATAACTATTGAATTCGGGCGACCATGTTCCTCCAAAACACCACCTAGGCAGGTGGGGAAAGCCTGTCTGCAATGTTACAGACTTACGAGTCACCCAGGTTTGAATTGGGATCACAAAAAACTTGGAGATCGTCTCTGCTGTCCCATCTGATACAAGTATGAGATGTTAGCACAGTTTTATAATCTTCATATCCCTGAGCTGGGATAAAATGTAGAAATAAATACACTTAGAGCTACACCAAATATTATGGAATCTGAGTACACTAGAGAGAAAAGCACTTCCAAGATGTTGTCAAAATGTTCCTAAATTCTTTCCAGAAGAATCATAAGCAGGCTTAGATAAAATAATTCACTCATAAAGGTGGTAAAATGAATACAACTGTTCTAAATATAACCTTACCGCTTAGAGATCATTCAATTTGTGAAATTATCCTCCATTCAGTATGTCCAGACAAGTAGAAAACTGATTAGCTTGAATTTAATTCCTCAGTTTAAAAAGATCAAAAGGATATGTATAAATATTTAATATTATTCTAATCAGTTCCGCAAACAAAACAAAAAAGCCAAGAATTTGAGTCATTGCACTCAAAGATCTTCTAATCTACATAGCAAACAAAACGCTAGTGCTCTACATGTCTAGGCATAAATTTATAAAATTAAAATACAATTTCATGACATTATTAAACTGAACAATTCCTAAGAAAGGACATGAAATGCCCTGGCTGCCTGCCACTGCACTCTAATACTAATGATTAGGTCCACTTATTATCAACTTCAGGACCTCTTTCCTTCTTTGCAGACATTAGGATACATTTCCCAGCAGGCTTACTGATGCAAAACAGCTCAACTAAGCTGTCCCTAATGAAGCCATGGACCAATCACACACAATTCTCTGAGGCTTGTCTTCCCTGAATTCAAGCTCCTGAAAGCCCAAGAAATAAAATTAAATCCTGTCCTTATGATGAATCCAGAAGAGACTTTCTCCCCCATCTTTGAGCTTACCAGTAAGCTGGGGCCCCTGAAGTTTACTGCTTCTCAGTTTTCTGGCTCCCCAAGCCTGAATCACACATGCAAGGCCCTCAAAACTTCTAGAATCTATTGCTAAATTGACTCTGCATAATTGGTATTACTTGGATATGCTGTGGCTGGGAAGGCTGACTCTGTGTCTTCTTTGGGCATGTGGCATGGGACCACTTATGACTCAACAAGAGAGAGGAGGACGGGCAATGGGCAGAGGTGAGTTATAAAAGTGTCACAGAAAAAAATTAAAACCATTTATAATATATAAATGTTTCATTTACTTGAAAATTAGGGCCAGCTATTTCCTTGCAACTTAAATAGATGGGAGAATTCAGGGATTTATTATGATGAACTTGAAATGGATCAGAGAACAAATATAAGTGGTGAAACTATAAAAACCTGTTAGGAAGCCTAGAAGAAAATATTTGCAACGTTAGATAAGACAAAATTTCTTAGCTGTAACACTTAAAACTTAAAACACTGTGCCACAATCTTGCAAGGAAACTTTACATGAATTTAAATGGTAGTTCTACTTTTTATATTAAGGAAATCTGTCATAATCTTCATAGAACAATTCAAACTATAAGTTCTCTTGATATAGCGATAGCCAGTTTTCAGGTGTTCTAGCTGTCAGTGTGACATGGGAGAGTGAGTATCTGTATTACCTGACAGAGCAAGGTCTTGCCTTCCTGGAGTCTTCAGGAAAGTTATTCTATACAGTGTGGAAATACCATCTTGGGGCAGCTCCAGCAATTATTTTGGGCTGTGAAATGTAACAACAGGTAAGGGAATCAAATATTTGTTTAGCCTGTTTCTAAGTACAGGCTAAACAAATAACACAGAGAAAAGTTTTAAACTTCAGAAATAAGTTATAATTATAAAATTGATTTTCAAACACTAAAAAGAACAGTCTCTTCAAAAAATGCCAAATGTGCAATCCTAAAGACAAAGAAATTGGAATATTTTTGTTTTATTTTGTCCATATATAAAATAGATACCTTTCCTGGCATTCAAACTTACAGTAATTGAAGTAAAAGTAATAAACATTTTAGGACATAATAAAAAGAACATATTTATGTCTTCAGAGTACAGAATCAACTTTTAAATAGGGCTCAATATTCAAAATGTGCTGACCAAAATTTTAAAAAAGACTGATACTTTCAATTGTATTAAAATCAGTAATTTAAAGTTTTAAAATACTGAATGTAATAAAAAATCTATTAGTACAGGATCATTTCAATAATCTTAATAAGTATATCATTTTTAAGTTTATTAATCATAAATGAAAAAGATAATCTAGTCAGGCACATCAAAAAAAGAATATCAAATGACCAATAACATTCAAAAGAGTTCAGTCTTGGTAATCAGAGACTTGCACGTTAAAAAATCACAATGGTGCACAGTACATAACCTCCAGCTGGCAAAAAATGTTTAAAGACTGACAAAATCAAGTATTTGCTATGATACAGAGTGGGAAAACCTTTTGCATTTTGCTGACATAACCTACTAGTATTGAACGCTTACGTTACAGAGCGGCACCTCAAATTCTGGACTTACACAGCAGAAATCTTTTGCTTCTGCGTATCATTTGACATATAAAAATGTTCCTAGCAGCACTGTCCATAATAGAAACAAACAAAAAAATCCAAAAACTGGAACTAACCTACTTGTTTATCAATGATAAGCTGAATAAATAAATTATAACTATATAGCATTAAAAATAAATGAACCACACCGTACCCATCCATGTGGATGTATTCTACAAACCTAATGTTGGGCAAAACTAGCAAGCCATAGGAAATACCAACTTTGATGGTATTTGTTCTGAGGCCCAAAATAAAGTAAGCAATGTTTTGTTTATGGGTATACACAAAGCAAAACCAGGAAAACACATATAGAAGAAATTATCACAAAAGCTAGGACTGTATTTTCCTCTGAGAAGAGATGTCTTCTATATTTCGTATGTCAATTTAACTACTTAAAATCTAAAAATATAATTATTCAGATAAAAATACTAACTACAAAAGTACATTACGGGGGGCTGGGGATTTAGCTCAGCGGCATAAGCGCCTGCCTTGCAAGCAGGCAGTCATGAGTTTGATCCCTGGTACCGATAAAAAGGAAAAAGACACACACACAAAAAAAAAAAAAAAAAAGTACATTACAGATTTTTATTCTTACATACTTGGGAATTGGTACACTAACCCTTGTGGCATACCTGAGTTTAAAATGACAGTACATTTTAATGGAGTTTGTTTTATATTAAGTGGAGAAATTCACTAATACTAACCCAAAAGTTCAAAAGTGGCTGGGGTGTCGCTCAGTGGAGAATGTGTGCTTGGCATGCACGAGATCTTGGATTCGATCCCTTGCACTGAAAAAAAAAAAAGTTTAAAAATTTTAAAACAATTATCTTCATAGAGTAAGAACTAGAAAAGGGAAAGAAACAAAATGCAAGGTTATGTGAAGTAGAATCACCTCTCAAATAATTACTCAAACTAAAATGACTCCCAGATACGTGGCATGAATTAGGAGTGCTCAGTCACCTGTGTACTTAAGCAGCAATGATACATGAGGCTTTTCTTTCAGTTTAAGACTGATATTGAACTTTTTTTTCTACTTTGCTTTTCTCCCATTTTCAGCCATGCAAGTCAAGCTACAACTGAAGATTAACTCTCTGATATAAATAATAGTCTTTTTATCAATCATTACAAACTATATGCCTATCGAAATCCTACAGTTTTTTTTTACAAACCTTTCATAAAATGAACAACATAAAGTTAACGCATTAAGATGTCATCTTTCAGCAGCTACGATCTAGGTAGGATCAGACGGAAGTAAAAGGTACCTCCAGGTGTATGGCTGAGAACTGCTGCCTGGTGGCGCACCTTGAAGAGCTCTAGGACATCTGGAAGCCAGGTGTCTCAAGTTCAGATCATGCACTGGAGTATGCATAGGTTTCCCCACGTCTGCAAGCTGTTGTGTTCTGCTCCAGAAACCTTATTTCAAAAATACGGATAAAGTGAGGAAAGAAACCACTAAGTATTTGGAATGATTAGGAGTAGACATTATCAAAGAGAGAGAGGAGAGAAAACAAGAAAAAACAAACAAAAGCTTATATGGCCTAAACATGTTTATCTTAATAAGTGTGAGAGAAAAATAGAACACTAAAAGGAGACAAGATAGATGTCTCCAGACAGTCTTTTCTGTGTGCTTCTAAAGGGAAGCCAGTAAGGCAGGTATCAAATCAAGAAAGAAATCAAGAGAACTTTTCTCTACAGCTCTCCAGGAACAAATGAGCTCTCTGGAGAGGTGAGGAGGATCTTCTAGGCTTGGAAAGAGTCCAATCAAAACTGAAAGACACAACAGGAGATTTTTGCTGCTGGGTAGCAGATTGGCTTAAATGACTGCTAACTTTCTTTTAATGTTTTTATAATGCACAGGAAGTAATCCTTATGCGATGGTGGGATCTGGTAAAGAAATCTATGTAAGTTTCTTGCTTCTGTCGCTGATATTGGTCCCAAACGCAGTGCAGCTCACAGGGTAAGCAGCTAAGAAGGATAACCAGAGGGGAAGTAAGGAGAGAAAATGAGAGCTGAAACCACAAAATCCACAAAGACAAACTGGAATCAGCAAGGCAAACTGGACCCTCCGTCCATCTTCCCTTGCCCCACCTTGACCCGCGTGCCCGCAGGAGGAGGTGACACACCTACTTCAGCAGCTCCCATCCTTTTTTAAAGCCAAATATTCTCAACTTTCCTCCTGTGATGACTCATTAACCTATTTTCAGATGCTGCCTACCAAATTGCTATGGGTTTATACAAAAACTAAAATTATCTGAACGTTCATTTTGGCCAAATAAGCTACAAAAAGAAAGGTTTCTCCTTCATTCCCTTTCTTCTGTTGCAATGGATGGCATCATGTTCGGGACAAAAATCTGGACAAGATGGATCTGGAGCCTGATCTTTTAAACAAAATCCGTCATTGTTCAAATAGCCTGGATGAACAAAGGAAACTGCAGTTTCAACCCAAAGAAAAAACAACACTAGCAAGGCCTGAGATGGTGATAGAAGATCACATGTCATCACTGTCTGGAGGCGCATGCTTTGCTCGGGCAGAGCTGCAAGGACAGCCCGCTCTTCTCCTTACAGTGTGAAAGTGCAGTTTGAACTTTGCTGTCAGTGACAAGGTTAGAGCAGCACACCACCCACACTGAAAATGAATCAGACACAGAGAACCAGATTCTCCTAGAACTTAAAGCGCTTCTGAAGGCTGCCTTCACTCTTGCAGAATACTGGCAAAACAAAACAAAGCCAAAAGGGAAATTATCTACCAATACTGTACAGACATGAAAAGTTAATCCATTTAGTGCTATCGGTATTGTTGGGACAGTGGAAAGAATCACAAGTATCCAATGGAAGGGGATTATTAAATGTATTAGAATTTATCCAAGCAAGGTATTATCATATTCTGCAATTGGTTCATTATGCATTGTGATTATAAACCATAAAGTACAATAACACGTGTGAGGTGGACAATACAACAAATTGCAAAGGTCTCCTGCATTAAAAATAAAAGTAAAACTTTCAGGGTGGCTGGCATGCAAACGACCAGGAGATGTGTGGGGTTGCCCCTGTGCTTCACAAATGTTCTGCTCAGCTGAGAGGTTAGTGGGTTAGCTTTCCATACTTACACAGTAAAAAGCTCAGAGGAAATAGAAGTTGGGTAAGTCCATGTCAGGTGGGGGTAATGAGGGAAGGGGAAGTTCTACTTAGAGGAGAAGAGGGGCCACAGCCATGTGGGTGGGAATAAACTTGGAGGAACTTTTATCTCAGCTCGCCTGGTCCTGGGTCACCTGATCCACCCACCTACCAACTATAGGCAGTGTAAGTGGGAGAACCAGCTAAAGCCTGCAAGAGGCTCCAGGGGTGCTCAAGTCCAAGTGGGGATAGATCCTGGAAGCAGCACCAAGGAGCAAAATGCAACAGGAGCAGGGAAGTTGAGAACATCTAATAGTGTGGGTCCTGATCAGTGGGATTAGCGGCATCTGGCAGCTTGTTAGGAATGCTAATGTTCTGCTTCCCGGCTCACCGCACCATGAACTCAGGGTTGAGCTCAGCTCTCAAACAAGCATTCCTGGTAGTTCTGATGCATAATCATATTTCACAACCACAGGTCTAATCCAAGGAAGGCAGCTCTTTAAAAAGAACCAGCCCCTAGGTGAGATATGGAGTCGTTAACTGAGAGGTGTGGCTAATGACATCAAGGGCAGGGAGGAGAGAATGGCAAGAGGCAGTGACCTAGCCCAGGTGGTCACATCAAGCTCCCCAGATGCCGCCAGAATTCAACAGGAGGACTACACACCCAGCAGAAGGAAGACAGCAATCTCACCCTCAGGATCGAGGAAGCTGAGTGAATGCCCTGGATTGAATAAGAATTGGAAGTAACATTTTTTTTTTAAATATAAAAATCCTCAAAGAAATAAGAGACAGTATTGAAACATAAGAAATGAGTCATAAAGGAAATAATACCTGGAGATACTGACTATGAAAAATACAATATTCAAAATAACTCAAAAGGGTAGTTGAAGACCAGAAAAGATAGTGCTATATAGAATGTATTTTTAAGATATAGAGTGGAATGAATCAGATGTGTATGACACTGTTTATACAAGTTGAAAGAAAAGATTAACTAAATAACATTGTATCTTTCCAGAATAGGTATATCCATAGATTTCAGTGAACATAGATTAAAAGATCCATTGATGATGGGTATGTAAGACTGATGTATTGTTGAAAAAGAAAAATCAAAAAAGAAAATGAAAATACCTCACATAGAACAGTGAGGTACCCTGCTATGAATATGATAAATTCAGTCCTCCACCTCAGATAAGGCAGAGTAAGGTTCTTTTTACAAACTCTACTTTTATAAAACTGTAAAGAAGAACATACACAGTATAAAAATAGCTGTGTTCAATACTGAATAAATGTGGCTATGTTCTTTTGTAAGTTAGAATTTACCATAATTTTGTTTTTATAAAAATATTTAAGCAAAAACTGAATGCTTTCTCGCTGCAAGTAGTTTACATGCTGAGATAATTGACATTAATCAATTTATATATTTGCAATATTGGACTTTTTTAGCACTGAGTCATATGAATAGCAGAACATTCAACAATGCGGTTCCATTTTAAGCTATTAATACACAAGATAATAATACTGTTCTGCCAGTCAGTAAATGTTATCAAGGAAAAAAAAGTTTATCTTCATTTAAACTATTGAAGTTTCTAGAATTTAATGTGTTAGTTGCTGCATTTTATTCGTTAGAAATTCATATGATACTATTCATACAGTTTAATAATTAGCAAGCTTTATAAGATCAAACTGCCTGAAGTTTCTCTCTAAACTCTATGTATAGACCCAATCTCTACTCTTGATGGCATATGAAGTTTTAAATATTGCATTTAAAGTCTTACTTATTACACCAATATACATAAACTGAGATGAAATTCACATGAGACACAGTGAATCATGTTTAAGTTATGGTTGGATGACACTCAGAAGAGTCACAAGAATATGCAACTATCTCCTCCCTCTTCTCCCCAGATAGCTTCATCCTCCCGAAACGACCCCCTTTCATTAAGAAATCACTCCAGTCCCCTTCCCTCCAGGCCTTGGCAACCACAAACTTCTTTCTGTTTATGGATTTAACCTATTGTGGATATTTCATATGAATGGAACCAAAAATATATATTTCATATGGCTTTCTACACCTTTTTAAAAGAAAACCATTGGTTTAATTCCTGCTTGTTTTCAAATAAATAATCATTGTTTATACATGGGAAATCCAAACTTAACAAGATGTTGAGAAGAGGCTAACGAACAGAGCAAATGCCCAGTTACACCTCTGTCTGAGTCACTCCTCCTCTTCCATTGCCTTTTCAAGCCCTGCAGTTAAGTTGGTTTTCTTGCAAGGCCTTGAATCCCATCAACACACTATGCTGTTCATTCCTCCAGTCCTCTACATACTGACTTTTAGAACACATTTCCCCTTTTTGGTCACCTAAAAGCACCCTAAGTTAAAACATCATTGCTACTGCACAAAATTTCCAACCCCACACTTCCTCTGGTTCTTTGTCCATCACTACCTGGCCACTCTTGTCTGCTCCATGCCTACTTGTTCTAAGCACACTGTATATTTGCGCAAATACTCAGCTGGGTACTGAATACTTTTGTATCTATCTCCAGTGCCCACCAAGATGCCTATAACTGAAATCAGTAAATCTGGGGCCAATAAAAATAACAGAATGGTAATTACATATATTCTATGGACCACAGTCAAACTTTGATAACAGTGATTCTCAAATTGGAGACCTTAGAAAAGCAACATAAGTAGCAGCATAAACAACCTGAGAATGTGTGCGACTTCTGAATTCTAGGGCCAAACTCAAAACCTACTGAGTCAGCAGTCCGTGTTTCAGCAAGCCCTCCTGGAGACTGCCACACAAGCTTAAGTTTGAGAACAATTGATATGGAACTCAAAAACTGTGGCACAGCAATCTAACTTGGCTTCTGCACAGCTACACTTCTAATTTACTGTGATCATTTCTAGCACCCTCTCCTGACCCTCCCACTGGGCCATGCCTGAGTGTTAGAGGGCCTTTGGGCTCACACTTCAGGTCTCTTCTGAAGAACTATATATACCCCAAGCCCAGACACACCTCCTGCATTTGGATGACAGTCTAATCTATGTCTCCAACTCCTACACTTCTCCAACATAGACTCCTGTCAATTTTCCGGTCTCAATTTTCCTACCTGGATGTCTACAGATACCGCCTGAATTCGTACTCTTCCCCATAAATGAGACTCCCTGATTTCCCCAGAGATTTCCTTTTCTCTCAGAGAAAGGAAAAAATTTTTTGAGCTTTTATTTAAAGAAAGACTAAACAAAACAGAAAATGGGTAGAAATAATACATACATTCAGAGAAAAAAATAAACAGTACGAAATCACTAGTTGATGTTTACATATTATTGTTTTACAAATAGTTGTTCAAGATACAAAAATGAAACATGTAAAGTGGAATTCAAACAGCGAGACTGCAATCAGTTCT